TTGAAAACATTTACGAGTCGGTCAGTTTTTTTTTCAAATTTTTTCACAAAAACTAGGATGCAAAACTTAATTTTTACTTGAATAGCTTCTCATCAGCATGCAAATTCATTTTAATTTTGAGAACCTGTAGAGATATTTGTAATATTTTATACGTTTTTAATAGCTTTTCAAGTTCTGGAAAAATTCCGTATAAATATGCATAAGATGCAAATGCATTCAGAAAGCTTGGAAGCTTGAAGCTATTTTTACAGAAAAAAATATTATAAAACGTAGAAATACATTTTTTTAGTCCATTGTCGGCTTGCAACGCAAAGTAAGCTTTTATACTTATTATATGAAATTTTCATCTAGGTCAGTGTTCCACAACCTTTTTTGGCCTGCAGATCAGCAAAGTTCCTTTTGAAAAATGTTGGACTGGCAAATAAAAAAAAAAATTCCTGCCCAGCAAATAATTTGGCCATTATCCGCTTGTGTTTGCGCATAAAAGACAGCCTTATGGATGTCCAGAGTGGACGTCTATCCAGGCAGCCACTCAGACCATAAAAAGCAGGCATTATACCTGTCTGGAGAGACTGGGATAAGATTGCCACTTCCCCTGACAGTTATCCTGGTGGTTTGGGCCCCTCCCTGTATTCCCGCCAAGATTCCCGTTTTTTTGATGCTGTTCCCTATGCCCTTCCCCCATATTCCTGCCAAGATTCCTGTTTTTGTGACACTGTTCCCTATGGTGTCACAGAAACGATTTTTCAAAAAAATTTAAGGCTGCTATGCAGCCCTGTGTTTACAATGCCAGTACACTGTACTAGCATTGTCAATGCAGGGTGCATAGCAGCATGTTAACAAACACACACACACACACACACACATGCACGCACACTCAAAGGAAAGACATGAATAAACAAGCAACCTGCTGGGGATTTGAACCGCAACCCCACAACTCAGTGCCCACAGTCATAACAACTGTGCCAAACATACAGCAGTGATTGGCCAGAGCAGAAATTCTGGCCAGAAACTCTAGCATGATTAGAGTTTCTGAATGAACTAAACATTTACAATATGTAATAATCAGCAATACAAGAGTATGACATTTGCTTTTGGGATACACTGCAATAGATCAAAATTGTAAGTAATGCACTGTGTCTGTGTCCTAACTCATAAAACATTTCTTTATTCTTACACTATTAATTGCAAATATTAACACTGTTACCACAGATTTATTTGCAAGTTGTTGCAATGTTGTTAGAATGCCACACAATAACTGTTGAAAACACTTTGGAAACATTTGCAAATGAAACTTTTCATTTCACATGCATTACATGCAACCACTGTTACACACTGTTATCATAATGTTGCAACACTTTTGTGATATGACCATGTAGCACTTTATGAGAAAACTTGTAAAGTATTTTAAAATGCATGAGACTATACACAATTGATGCATTCATGCACCATATTGCAAATAATACAACTTGACTTTAATTACAGCACACAGCAGTGTGCACACTTGCAATAGTTTGAGAATTAACCTCCCATGACAAGAATGTTACAACACTGTGGAATCAGTGTTAAAACATTGTGGTTTATGAAAACAGTTTTATAACACTGTTGAAGCAGTGTTGAACAATGTTGGTATAAAAAACAGATTCTTCATATATTTAATTGGAGTATACTGCTATTAGCATCCATCACTTTCACCCCTTATTTATTTTTGCATAAGAACTGCATTTTTCCAGAGTTTCAATATGATGCTCAAATCAGCCCACCAATCCAAATATAGGATAAATAAATTCCAATAGCAAAATAAGAGTTGCTGATGGTCTGCTTACTAATAAAATTACAATGCTTTTAAAAGCATCTCAGAAAAACGTTTTTTACAGGGTAAAATATGCTTTTAAAAGAGTCATAAGGTGACTCTTTCAAAAGCATAAAAGAAAAACGTTTTTAACAGGGTAAGAAATGCTTTTGAAAGCATCAGACTCTGATGCTTTCAAAAGCGTCACAGAAAAATGTTTTAAAAGGGTAAGAAATGCTTTTGAAAGCGTCAGACTCTGACACTTTCAAAAGCGTCACGGAAAAACGTTTTTGACGGGGTTAAAAACGCTTTTAAAAGCATCAGACTCTGGCGCTTTCAAAAGCATCAACTAAAAACATTTTTTACCCCATCCTGACTGCATCAGGAAAACAGGGCCCTCCTCCCAAGCCAAAACTGTTTTACCATCAACAGAAATGGCCACTTTACACGTAAAAGTAGCAGCTATCCCTGGCAGGAATCCAAAATTTTTGCTGGGATGAACCCTCAATGATCAAGCAATGTTCAAGTGATCATTGCTTGATCATCAAGCATTCATTGTTTAGTTCAAGGAGACATGTGGATTGCCCTTGTTTTTGGGAACATTTTGCCTTTTTAAAAGACCCTCCTATCTCAATTAGCAAACTTTTTACAGATCTTCAAAGTTTGGGGGAAATTTTACACATTGCTTTATTTTGTAATGGTTTTTAACAATTCTTCAAAGCTGAAACAGGTAGAACTTGAATGTTTGATTGAAGATCACTGTGAACATCATGTTTGCTGTGATGATCTTATTGTGCACATAACCCATCAGTTCATTCAAGTCATTATAATTTTGGAAAAATCTATTGAAATTATGTCAAAAATATTGAACACCTTACAATATATATTTGTCTACATATTTGCCTTCCCATTGTGTCACTTGCACAAGTATTTCCTATAAAATATACATAAAATAATTTATGACAAACAATGATGAAACAATGATGATTTGCTGATGAAACAATGATAAACAATGATGATTTGCTGATGAAAGGATGATAAATGATGCTGAAATGATGTTCATTTGCAGAAGAAACAATGTTCATTTGCTGTTGAAGCAATGATGATTTGCTGATGAAACTATGATATGCAATGATGTAGCAATGTTCAACTAACATCATTTGGTGAAACATATGTTATTTTATGCTGTATTTTATGAAGTATTTATTATGGATGACATTATGGAAAACATTGTGAATCAAGGTGGCGTAAAATATTTCAGAAATATAGGAAATGCTGGATGTTTTTATTAGTAGTGTTATTTGGCAAAGGACGTTAACTCTGTCTCCAGCACATTTCAATACTGAAGTAGAATGTGTATTTGTTGAAACTGAGCCAATGATTTTTTAACAGGGCTATACATAGTATAGTTCAACCTCTTTAAGTCCAATTTCTAGGGACCAGAAAAAAAATTTGTCTTAGGGAGGTTTTGATTTTTTGAGTAAAGGAAAGAAATATTTTTGCTGCAAGGAAAATGGGAAATTGTAGATGAGGATATTATGGGCCTAAACTTATTGCTTCTCAATGAGTTCACAGCTTGCTGAACATGTAGGCAGGGGTTAATTTGCTCAATCAGTCCTTCACTTTACAGTATTTCAAAATGCCTAAAATAATTTGTTTTGTTGATTTTCTCTTTCATATTCCAAGGAAATAATAACCAAAAGGCCTCAGAAGATTTGACTTAAAGAGTTTTGAGAGAAAAATGCTTCTAGTTAGGGAGGTTTTTAATACATGGTTTCTATGGGAATCCAGACAGGGACTTAAAAAAAATTGAGTCAGGGACGTACTTGACTTAGGAAGGTTTGACTTAGCTTTGGGTGGAGACGTTAATATTTTTGAGCAAAAAGAAGAAGGCAATGTATTTACTGTATATGCGACGCCCAATATTCATTCCAAGGTATTTCATTTTAATGTATATTACTGTACAGTTTTCAGCTGAAATCACGCAGTTATACTTGCAGTTATAACGCAGCATTTGTTATGACCCCATGGCGGGATTTTAAGCATTGCTTTGTCCACCCTGGTGCCATTTTTCTGGCTCATCTTCCAATGAATGCTCAGTGAGCTGATTGGGTGGTTGTCCTGTGGTTTGATTTCCTGTGTCCTGGGGTTTTTGGTGCATGTGCATGATGCTTTTGCTGTGTTTTCTGCTGGCTTTTGCCTGGTTGGGTTTCTATGAGCTTTTTCATTTTCCTGCCTGCAGCATTTATCTTGGATTTTGTTTCTGGTGCACTGATTTGGTTTTTGTAATTTTGAGGTAAGTTTTGGGAGGTTTTGGAGACAGCAGCTTAGTGGGAAGAGTCACGTCACCACATTAAAAAAAAACTTTTCATTAAAACAGTTTTTGTGACCTTCTGATGCCGCTTATAGGACTATAAAATAAAACACTGGTTGAAAGAGAATTGAATAAGCTTTAATTTTGTGTTTTTTGTTGTAGCTTAATTTTTGATGGAGATATCCTAATTCAGAAATGGGTTCATTTTTTTGGCCCACCCTGTATAAGCTCCAGCACAGCATGATGGGGACTGGACTGCTGATGTGCACATCCTGTTCTGATGCTTACTGATGGCAGCTGATTGCAAGACACTTTCCGTGGCAGATATAGAAAATGTAAAACAATGATGCATATGATTTTAACGGCAAACCCAAACTGATCAAGATTCGGTCCCCCCACTTCCTGAGGTCATGGTGGGGAGCTAGAGGCAGAAAAAGCGATGAGATGAGATGCAACTCCACTTTCCCGCCGTCATTTGCCGCGGTGAAAGAACGCTTTGTACTCTTGCTTTCACCCACCATCATGCAGCAACAGCAGCAGGGGGGGGGGAGGAAGTCGGAAGTAACGCGAGTCTTTCCTTTCGTGGATGAAAGACGAGAGAGAAATGAATGAATGAATTGATAAGAAACAAAAACAAAAACTCAGTCTATAGCACTCGGACCGAACAGACAGACAATAAGAGGTGATGAGCCATTCCGCGCCTATGGATCATGCGGCAGGAACCATCAGCGTATGCTTTTTACGTGTATGATGAAAACTCCCATGGACACAGCGATGGATTGAAATTTTACCAATCATTCAATCCGACTGCCAAACCAGCATCAAACGTTTCAAGCAGTGGTGTTCAACTACTGCTGTACAACCAAGGCGGTTATTCATATGCTGAGACCAAATATGGCAAAGGAAAGAGTCTTTGCTGCTATGCTGCTGCTGGGAATGCCGCACAGCATCGAGTTCCGATCAACAAGAGTATACATCGCAGTGACATCCTATGCTTGCGATGATTTGATCGGAATCATGGTCCGCGACTGCTGCATGCTGGTGCCAATAATATGTGCGTGTGTAGAGTATGCATGCTTGATGGACCGTCGCATGCAGCAGCACGACGAAGTACAGTATGCACTGATGCAGTTATGAGGACAAATGAAGACGTCGTACGTTTATTTAGACGGATGAGTGCTCGGGATATAATGCAACAGTAGTGCGGTTATTAGCGCAAAATTTAAAAGAGTGCACGCGGCCCAGAGATGATGATGTGGAGTAGAGTACAGCAGTAGTTCGTGCATCAAGCACGACGTAGTCGCCATCAGTATTACAGTACGATATAGTAATAGCGGTGCTGCCAGAAGAACAAAGCAGCATTAAATAAACTGTTGCGGCCGGGGAGCAGCAACATACGCAATTATGATAAGACTGCTTGCTACTGTGCAGTCGGTGAAATTGGCTTCTTCAAATCATCATATGATGATAATGCTGGCTGCCTGCTGAATCACAAATGAATATAATGCGGCTGGATGCACTGTAATACACGCCGCGTGTGTTATTATAACATCCCCTGATTAACGATGATGATGAAGAAGATCATAACTGTAGCATAAATGCTGTACGTGCGTCGATATATATGGGGACGAAGACGTGCATAGGCGTACGTATATACAGTACAGTACAACATAAAGCATGTGCTTGTTCGTCCATCCATATACTCGTACGGTAAGGGACGTGCTAGCATCAACAGTCTTTTCATTATCTCCACATATAAACGCAATCTGCAACGTGTCCAGGATTTGTTTTTTTTTTCTTGTTGGGCAATGTGCATGTGGGAAGACAATAATGTACAGCATACAGTATGCGCTCAATTCATTCATTCATCCTTCACCTTTTTTATTTTTTCCTTCCGCGCCGTTACATTGACTGCTGGTCATGTATCATATACAGTACAGTATTCTGTGGGACTCAATAAGAAGTCAGACATTCCTCAGCCGCGTGATGACACCAAAACACTGTATCTGAATGCAGACGAGCCTATAAAATACGAGGAAGATGAGAAACCTTTTCTTTTTTTTCCAGACTATAGAGTATAATTTCCAACAGGACAGTACAGCAGTATACGCTGTTTTCCTACTGCTGCTGCCTCGACTCAATCCAGTAGATACAGTGCTAGTGTAGTGCATGGATGATTCAACACCAGTCGTTATTCTGTCTTACATAAAGTACGTAGAGCAATTAATTATCGCGTATGTATATACTGCTGTACATATCATGGTCGACATGGCTTATTTTGCCGCCAGCAAGAACATGAGTTGAGAAAAAAGGAAAAGTAAGCCACAAACAAAAAAAAAGGAAGGAAGGAAGGAAGGAAGCAAGTCAGAAAGGGAATGCATGCAGTACTGTACGAGTATAGTCGAGTATACAAGTATATAATGTTCATGCTGCCGGTCCGATAAAAACTACTATACAGTATATGGCCGGTATTTCTCTGGCTAGCTACTGAACCGTGTGCCTGCAAAAGCAAGCGACTACAGTACTATTACATGAAGACTGTTCAGCTAGAATATTACTGCGTTTACTGGACCATCATGCAACAGCACGTTATTCGACTGTTGCGCTGCATTTCAGCCGATCGACAGCAGTTTAGCTGGACAGAGATGTATCTGGACAATGACCATATATCATGAGCAGTCAATCAATCGTACATGTTACGCCAGCATATAAGGATGAGGAAAAATAGACATATGCAAAGCATTTTATTTAATGAGTCAATTAGTATATATGCAGCAGTAATGTATATATTTGATTTCAGGGATTATATGAAACATGATAATGTGTATCATAGATTACGTATAGTACAACATGTATGTACAGTATTTTGAAACTCATTCATTCATTCATTCATTCATTCATTGATGGCATCCGTGCTTTGCCTTTATTTCTTTCATATATGCATCCGATCCTTGATGATGCTGCTTATTATGGTGCTGCGCGCCAATAACTGCATGGTGATGGTGATGATGATCGTGACGACAACGACGACGATTACGTTCACGACTACGATGAAACACTCTAAATGAATAGCTGTGGACGGAGGATGGAGCGCGTGGTCTGCATGGTCTTTGTGCAACCCCAAGTGTTCGCGGTACCGCCGTCGGTCCTGCTCAGCAGAGTCGGGTGGAAGCAGGCCGTGTTCGGGCCCCGACCTGGAGGCCAGCAACTGCACCGGCGGCATGTGTCAATCGTCACCAGCAGGTGGGTCCTGACCGTGAATCATGCACATGAAACAAACAAACATAATACTGATTGATGTATACAGCACACACATGAACGACTCCTTTCCTTATTTACCATTATACAGTAACTGTAGTCTAAAGTGCAAATATATAAGGTAGTTTAGCTGCTATTAGCTATAGCGTTGAAGAAACAATAAATAAAAAAAGGAACCCTTCAACCAATGAGTTAATCGTTAATCAGGCGACATGTTGTATATGTGTCAATGTGTGTGTGTGTGTGCACTGGTAAAATCCTGCACTACAGTAGTATTACAGGTGGTACCTTATTGCAATTCAACCTCCCGTAATTCAACCGTCCCGCAATCATAGATGGACACATTTGCAGGGAGGTTATTGACTTGTAATTTGACCTGCTTTGTCCAGTTTTTCCCACTTTTGTATTTATGCTTTGAATTTGATGGAGTGTCTTGCAATTTGACCAAGTTGCAATTTGACCCTAGATTGGCAATGGATTATAGGGTCAAATTGCGAGGTACCGCCTGTATTATGTTTGTCTGTGCACAAGCACATACAAGGGTTGGTTTCTACATCTTGATAATTTCTTTACTAGTCATAAGATTGTTTCAATACGTCCGAAATTTATTTTATTCACGTAGCCCCACCATGCAGTAACACTTTAGTGATGTTGAACATGTAATCTCTGCCAATTTCAAAGCCTTTGATGATGGTCTGGTTGTGGGAACCGTGTTTGTTTCTCCAATGGTCAAGGCATTTTGCAAAGTGCTTGCTACCTTAGAGGCCAGCAGCATTTATTTCTTGATGACAGCCTTTTTATTTTCCTTTATTTTGGCTGCCATTTTTTGATTGGTTTCAAACTTTTCACTACATTTTTTCACTTTCATTTGTATCCACTCCTAATTTTCAATCTCTTCTTCTGTCCCACCTGGCACATCCTTTGGAAGTTGGAGGTACGCCTCTCTTGCTTTACCTTTTTTTAATCAGCACTTGGAGGTGTTCAATTGCCCCCCCCCCCTGTTGCATTTTAATGCACTGGGCTTCACATTGTTTCTCAAATTGTTCGATTGCTCCCCTTGCTTTACTGATACATTTCTTCAGGGGTTGCATATACCCTGCATCTATGCCACACACCTGTGCTTCTTTTGTGCCCTTCAATATGATCCATTTCCCTTTATAAAGGATTAGCCACACTTTCATGCATGGGTAAACACACTGCTTGTGCCCCCAACTCTCTACATCAGATCTGGATGCTGTGTTACCCCAGACAGCTTTCTCCCATCTGCAAAAACCTACAAAAGATAAGAATTGGCGAGGGTCAGAATTGTATTGCCCCCTATACGTCACTTTTGGCTTGGCTTCTTGCACACTTTTTTTTTCACACTTTGAAGTTCCCTCAATCTGCTGGCTTATTGACGGGCCAAAACTGTGATTAATTTTTGTGTGTTTTAGTTGAAATTTTGCTCGTCACGAGATTCAAAGAGAAATCAAGTGTATAACCCTTATTGTATATACGCAGTAAATATACGCGTATGCAGTACAGTATATACTGTACAATGCATGAGCAATCCCTTGTGCAAACGTTTGCCCAGCAGTCCTCAATTTAGAGGGATGAAAGAGATTCATCCGTTCGTCGTGTATGCTACGTATACGTTTATACATTCTATATACATCCCCGCTGCATGTAGAGTCACTATATAACTGCTGAATGCATTGTGCTTCACTTGTTGCTTCTTTCTTCATGCGTGTGTCCCGCGTGCTGTGTCGATTCAGGTGTGTCCATTCAATGCCGCTCATCCATTTATTGATCTCACCCGACGAGCAGACGTGGGATACATTCATGTACTGTATACATAGCTACGCACTGCTGGCTACGTATGACGCTAAACATTTCCGTTTCATTGTACTGTACAGTACAGTACATGTTCTTATTAATTATTGGACCACCGTGATATACTGTACCATATATACGCACAGCATTATGAGCAAATTCTCGCGCGAATCCTCTCGATCCTTATTGCTGCTTGCTTGCTTCACTGCTTGCGGGAAGCTTTTTGATTCTTTTTGATTGAATGCCTGAAAAGTATTGTCATCGAGATTAAGAAAGATAGTGTGTGTGAGTGTGTGTATGCGCATGTGTTGTGGAAACGGACAATTGTGACGGCTCAATTGACGATAATTGCTGAGGACACTTGCATACTGTATACTGTAATGTACGGGGGTCTGAAATGGTGCATCTGCAACCGAAATCATCATGCACACTTCCGTGTATAGCCAGCAGTCCAGCATTTGACTGCATCATCATCATAATCATCATCATTTACTGTATTACAGTATACTGCATATACACTAAATGCTTGGTCATTGTTAGCACATTCATCCAAGTAAGATGCTTTTTGATGCGCCCGACGTAAAATACGCATATACAGTAAAATCCTGTTACAACAAACTTTTAGGGACTGCCAAAAAAGTTTTTTATAAGAAATAATTTGTTGTAACAAGAATTTCAATATTAATGACTGGAAAATTGTTTAAAGCTCAGATCTGCATACAGTGGTACACTGCACTACAAACCCCCCTGTAGAGCAAACTTCCCCCATAACAAACATTTTTTTGGCAAAAATACACCATGTTCACCCCCGCAGAATGAACAAATTTCACATAACAAAATTTTTTTTTATTTGGAAAAATTTGAAAATTTTCAAAAATTTATACAGGTATCATTGTTATAAAAATAGAAAAAATTACAAAAATCATACACAATATTAATATTTGATGGGGAAGAAAAGAATTTTATTTATGACAGAATTTTTTTTCAATCAGCAATCCCAAAAAGGCATGAACAATCCAGCTAAATCCTGTGCCACTGTCTGCTGAGGACTATTTTCTTCATCAGATTGAAATTTATCAAAACAGTGCATCTAAGGGGGTTCTGGTAAAAAAAAAAAGTTTTAAAATTAGGCTTTAATTTAAATTTCTAGAGAGGGTAGATTGCAGGTTTAAAAATATTTGTTTCCAGTGACTTTTGCTCACAGCAAAAAATCCTTGAAAATGGATTTAACTTCAAGCATAACCCCTGCAATTCAAATTCTAATCCAATCAGATTAGAAATTGAAATGTAGGGGTTATGCTCAAAGTGATCTCCATTTGCAGAGAATTGTTGCTATGAGAATAACTTCCTCAGATGAAATTCAAACAAAATTGTGGATTGATGATTTAAACCAGTGAATTTGTGTTTAAAGGTTTAAAACACAAATTCACAGCAGTTTACATCATCAATCCACAATTTTGTTTACATTTCATCAAAGGAAGTTATGCTCGCAGCAAAAATTCTCTGCAAATAGATTTGGCTTTGAGCATAACCCCTGCAATTCAAATTTTAATTTTCAGGTTTGAACCACAAATCCACAGGTTGAAATCATCAATGCACACATTTTTCAACATTGCATCTGGGGGGGTTATGCTCAAAGCAGAATTTTTTGAAAATATGTCTGATTTGAGCATAGCCCTCTTAGAAGCAATAAATGTTGTCAAAAATCTAAGGGGTTTGGTTCACTTGGAAGCCATTTTTAACCCTGCTATGCACACTTTCTGAGAAATTGACTTGGATGAAAATTTTTGAAAATTTTGGTGGGGGGGGGGGATCCAGATGAAACTTCAATTTCAAAGACAATTTTCATCTCAATATTTTTAGGAAATTTGAATTGCAGGCTTTAAAAATTATTCTGAGGCAGTTATGATCATAGCAAAAAATCTTTGAAAATGAGGGTTGCTTTGAGCATTACCTCTCAGATTTTTGGGTTATCTTTCATTATCCATTCTGTGGACTGACAAAAGAATCCCATGAAATTTTTAAAAAATATATGGAAGAATAATTGCCATAACTGCAGGGTTTCACAATGATTCCAAGCTAAGTGATGGATTATTTTTACTTGAATTTCGTCATTTTATGATTTTTCATTTTGTAGAAGAAAAATTGACACATTTTTGCCCAAAAAAAGGTAAAGCAAATTTCCTGGCAGATAATTTTAAATGATTTTTTTTCACCCTGAACATACAGCTGATCATCATTACTGTAAAGACTCTGAGCAAAAGAAGCAAGTGATGGAAAAAATGCTCAAAAGTGGAAAAACACAATTTAAAATGACCATTAATTTGTGTGGCCAAATTATGTGATCACTAATTTTCACCAGAAATTTTTTCACATAATTCTAACCATACCACAGCATCAGGAACTGAAGAGTAAAAAACTTCACTGTGTAAAAAAAAAGATGCTGAACAGTCACAGTCCCAGGATGGACTGGAACCTCTTTATTGAGCAATTAATGGTGCAAGCATTTTTTAAATATTTTTGGATGGCACCTTCATTTTAATTCTTTGAAAGACAAAGCTGAAGAACTGATCCCAAACATGATGTTTGGTTAAATTCTGTGGACTTCTGGGTTCATAGTTTGGCTTGAGAGATTCCAAGAAATGCATCCCACAGAAGTCAGTTAGCAAGGTTGTTCTGAGCAGGTTTTTCTATTTGATCACCATTTCCTTACATCCACTGGAAATTGCAGTGATTCCATGAACCCCCAGGCATCCAAACAATTCTGCACTCCTGGCAATGGACTTTTAGCTGGGTTCCTGGGAAGTTTTTTTGTTTTTTTTGTTTTTTTGAAAGGCAGAAAAGCCCTCTTCCCTGGGGGGATCCCATCCAGATTTCAAAGCATTTCTTCTCCTTCATCAAAGCCTCCTTTTATTCAGGCTTCAATGATGAGTGAAAAAAAGTTCCACAGATATTTTTTAGCAGTTTTCCATAAAAATGAAAAAGTTTCCTCAAAAAAGTTTGTTATAACAGAATTACCAAGTTTGTTATAACACGATTTTTTAACATGTGGTCTATAGGCTTTCTGCCAGGACTTGAAAAAAGTTTGTTGTGATCACAAATTTGTTGTAGCAGTATTTGTTGTAATGAGATTTTACTGTATATAGTAACGCAAATCATGCACAATAATTTTGATACTTATTGATACAACATGGGCATACTTTTTTTAAAATAAATTTCCCGTGTTTTGTGTACGAATTATTCTTGCATGCTGGTAAAAAAGACTATAAGGCTAATAAGAAGAAAAGACGGAATTTTTCGAGCACTTGGCCAATGAAGCTTACATGACTGTATTAAAATGCTGCCCGCCCGTCGTCGATCCGAGCCATCAGCCAATATGTAAACCATAAGAAAACGGAATACCCTGCATTTAGTAATGGACAATATAGAATGCCATTCGCTTGCTCGGCAAACGAGTCAAGGAAAACACTATGCAGCACGTACAGTACACTAAAATCCCGTCGGCTGATTTTCGGAATGAAGCAGGAACAGCATGTACGTGCAGTACTGAACTTATTCTGATGCACACTACTTTTAATTTAACATAAAAAAAATGCTGCGTGTGATGATGACTGTTTAAATGATATCATTTGGCGAATTCCCTTTTTAAACAACCAGTCAATCGTAAATATTTAAATGAATGGAAGGCTATAATTTTTTTTCATTTTTGTTCGTCATGCATGATGCAGGTGAGAATGCTGCATCCGTTCTCGTTTCCTTCGGCTCGACGCAGGAAGGTGAGTGCTGCTGATTTACTCATGTACTGCTGTAAACCCGTAAGTGCTGCAAATACGTACTGTACCTGCATGCAGCAGCATTACCAGCACCACTCAATTGCCTTCGTGTACATCCAGTGTCATATATTATTGTATTGCTTCCTCATCATTGCCTCTCGCGTTTCTCATCTCATCCCGCGCATCTTTTTCTTCATTTCCTCGTCCAGCACTCGTCTTATTCTCGATCAATCAATACATAGTAACTCTGCATTCATCCCTTGCTTGAGGAACTGACAAATTCATCATCTGCGGTTTACAGAAACAATAATGGCGTAAAAGTAAAATAAAAAAGAAACCACCAGTACGGACCCCGGGGATTACCGTAATAAAATCATGTACTGTACAGTATGTACAGGTATCTCAGAATGTCCCAAACCGCTCGGCAGCTATCAAGTCAGCATTGCCTTCAGCAGATGATTCGAGCAATAATGAGGATGCAGCAGCATCAGGTGTATATACAGTACCCAGAAATAATAATCCCTGAATTAATTTGTCCGCACGCACGATTCCATCGTTGCTGCTGGAATTACTTGGAAATTGATCATGCCGTAATTTGCGATGAATCCGAAACGGTTTGCCAATAAGTGATTTGCTTAAAGAGGGAAAGTGGGAATGCATACTTTGTCCAGACAATATGCTGCGTTGAAAAGAGGAAAAAAGTATTCGATATACCTTCTGTACATCATATACCGTATATATCATATAACACCTGGTACTTCCCTGTACTGTATATACAGTACGACTGTTCAGTACAGTTTTCGTATTCTTACTGTCGGTTTCCCACGTACGCGCGCCACCATCTCACATATGCCGCAATAAATATGATGCTCTCTCATCCCCAAGCACTGCTACTGCTGAATGGGCGTCGATGATGCGGTCAGCTCATGCCCTGTTTGCTGTATAATTGCCGCCGAGCAGTTGTGGGCGGGGACAGAATAATGCGTGGAGAGGGATAGGGTGGTGCATGCATGCAAGCAAGAATGCCCTCCCCCCTCATATCATCATAAGATATGTTCCTATATATGTCCATATATATGACGTGTCCATCATGCACGGCCGGGATCCAGCTTGCATCACCCTCCGTGCAAAAACTGCATACGTATATACAAGCAGTTAAATATACAGTATTGCATTTAAAATGGCGGCGGCTGATTAACTGCTGTGCGGTCATTATGTGCTGCACTTGATCGTATATACAGAACACGCGCATATATACAAACCTATATACATACACAGTAAAAAAAAAAAAAAAACGGTATACGTTTGCATATTAATCCTATTATTTGTAGTCCAGCGCAGCACTGCACATATTATTATGTGTACCTGTGTGATTAAAATAAGTTCTAAATGGTGTACAATCGGGCTCTGCATGATGCTTGCCCATATAGGGTTGGTTGATGAATCCATTTATATACTCAATATTAAAGATTGATTATTATTACATTGATTGCTACTATTCGCGCGTTGTTATTGGTGCTATCGTTTGAATAACTGCACGGATACCATCGATTGCTGCTGGCTATACTGCATCAGCATAGCCATCGCGCTACTACTTTATATACTGTATACTGATGCTGAGTGAGTGTATGTATTTAAGTTCGTCTTACTGCATTATTCAGTTGGGACCAGCAGTAAGTCGGCGCTGGCCTACAGCTACGACGTCCTGCTCTACGTCGTGCTGGCCGTCGTCACGCTGGCCACGTTCGCTGCAACGTTCCTGGCTCTTCGCTGCTACCGTCTGCATAATCATCGGGCCCATCGTCGGCACGACCATCATCATGTCCAGCTGTACGTGCCTGAATCTGCTGCTGCTACTGCTGCTGCTGCTCATCATCCACCAACAGCTTCAATAAGTCAGTCATTTCCTGGCTATTTTCTCTTCATATCCATCAGCAGGCAGTCTTTCTTTCTCTCTTCTTCCTTTTTTTTTCTCCTTCCTGCTGTTGCCCCCGTATATACAAACCCTTTCCGCGACCAACTGCTTTATTGTTGACGTCGCTGAGGTAAAAGAAGACAAAATGAAAATTCCATTTCGAGAGATGAAGAATAATAACGAGGGGTGGACGTATATAGTACTTACGTATATGTGTATAGTGCATGCATTCCTCGACCTTTGACCATCAGCGTGCAGCGATAAAAGCCCAGGATCGAGTGCAACAATACACCAATCAAGTGCAGCATCAACGCTAAACTGCGTGAATAAGTGACATCCTGCTGAGGTGTATTCCCATCGGGTTCAATGTTGCATTTCTGCCGCTGTTGCATCTTTTTTTTTTTTTTTTTTTTTTTTTTTTTTTTTTTTTTTTTTTCTCCCTCTTTTTCTTTTTTTTTTTTTTTTTTTTTTTTTTTTTTCTCCCGGTACGTGCAGAGTATATATACACTATTGTAGGTACAGTACAGTATATAGCGCATAAGTCAAATGCTGGCCTTTCCTCGGCTTATTGTATGCGAAACTTATTTGGCATACATCAGTATACAGTATTAAAACAAAAACAAAAAAAACATTGATGGGTTTTTGCGTAACATATTTTCCCTTGTCTGCATCATGTGCTGTGTGCTGCACATCATAAACTGTACTGTACTGTACAGCTACTGCATTATTATCATTATCATCATGTATACGTACTGTATATGATGCAGGCAAGCAAGAGCAGGAGAAAAAGGGCCTGGAGTTCAAGTTCGATTTGATGCAGATGAGGATGTGTTGCGAGTACGGGGACTACTCATCGGACCCCGGACGCGGAAGCAGCAATGTTGGAATACTCATGGGGGGACTGATGCTGCCACCACCACCACCACCACCAACAGCAGCAGCAGGAGGCACTGATGATGCCGACGGCTGTGTTATTCCTGCCACTTTATACAGTGGCATCAATAACAGCAGCCCTATGCCGGAAGAGAGCGAGCATTTCTACGACGAGCTGCCTTTGACGTTGCGCGGAATGACCGATGAAGCTGATGAATCTCAAGAGGGAAAAGGAGGAGGAGGAGGAAAGGGAGGCAACGATGGTTTTGCTGCAATCAGTGGTTGCAGCAGCAGCAGCAGCAGCAACAGTCGAGGCACGACAACGTCCGTCAACAGCACCACGCCGATCTCCTTGCATCCTCATCATCACTCTATCGTCTGCTGCTCTTCGTCATCGCGGCGACTCATCAACAGCAGTGCTGTGACCAAGACTCGACAGATGAATGACATGGTCTCGTCGTCCTCGTCCTTGCTGGATGCGATGAGTACCCCAGCGGCGGTGCGACACGTTCCTCGCCGTCATCACATTCATCGGCGCGATTCCGTCAGCAGCAGTCGCAGCTCCGCGGACAGCGTGCATCATTCAGGCACAGGTCAGTCAGTCAGTCAGTCACTTTGTCAGTGTACAAGTTGCCCTTAATCAATAGTACAGTAGAGTATACATGACATGAGTTGGAGGAAAAAGAATAACATGGTATTTTTACCATATACAAGAACCACACACACACACAAGACGCAATGACTGATGCGAGCAACATATACAGTATACTGTACAGTGAAGCATATGTATTCATTATATATGTTCTATTATTCCGCTCCAACAATAATTAATACAGCACAGTAACGTGTATTCGCAGAGATTGATAGACTCAAGTAATTGAAAATCTCTCTCTCTCTCTCTCTCTCACTCACTCACTCACTCTTGTTCTCCTCCTCTGATGTGAATGTGCATCTCTCTATCGTTGCCTGGCTGCTGAAAAAAACAAAAAAACCGTGCGTACATGCGGCAGTTGGACTGCAGCATCAGGAGTCGTGTTCACGCAAGAAGTCGTCATCATCGGCCGTGCAGACGGCGACTGCTGTTTATTATTGCGACCCATCATCATCAGCTGCTGATGGACTGCCGCTGAAACTCGGCTCTCCGTCGCCGTGCTTGCCACCGCCGCCGCCGATCGCGGACCCCGGCCGACTCGTCGTGGGCCACGTGGGTCACGAGGGCGGCCGTCTGTCGCTCCAACGGGCCCGCGTCATGCTCACCGTTCCAGACGGCGCCGTGCCGCAGGGCCTCGTGAAGCAACTCTTTCTCGCCGTGCTTGGCGACGACCAGGACCGCCCGAACTTGTCAGGTATACACTACATTATCTATAAATCGTATGATGATGATGATGATGATTATTATTATTATTATTATTGCAATGTAATGTATTGTACTCTATCCCCATCACGCAGACGGCGACACGCTGCTCAGCCCGGTTGTCATGTGTGGGCCAGTGGGGCTCCGACTCGAGAAGCCAGTCATTATTTCCTTCCAGCACTGCGCCTCACTCCAGCACGGCCACTGGGACATCTCAGTGCTCTCCTGCAATAACTCGGCAGCTGATGACCCGGGCAGGCTGGATCCGTCTTCCTGGCAGGTTAGATGAGCATGCTGTATAGGCAGCAGAACATCATGTGCTGCTGTTATATATCCTTTATATCCTTCTTCTTAGGCTTCTTTATTTCACTTGTTATATGCAGTACTGTATCTGATAATATATTGCTGTTTCATTCTTTGCGTAGTACAGTACTGCATATGGCCTCTTGTATAAATATAAATGAATAAATAAAGAAATGAATATATATATATATATATATATAAATCTGATGAATTTTCAACTTTTTCAAAACAAAAATGTTGTCGTGTTATATTTGTCCCAAATTTCTCCATTATAATTAAGTATAATGCAAACATAACTTCCTAAAACTTCTTGAAAATTTTGTACCCACTTATGATGCACACCCCTCTTTTTCTTCTGAAATTTGGGAAAAAAGGTGCACGTGGTACTCAAGTAAATATGGTATATATAAACAGTGTGCATGGATACTGTACCCAAAGAAACGTGGACTCCAATTTCTTCTGGTTCCTTGAATTTCTTTGTATATATAGAGATAAAGAGAGAGAGATAGAGAGATAAAGTATATTATTAAACATAAAGTATAAACATCACAAACCTCATTCAAAATTGGAATACATCTAAAATACCATAGAAATTATTGTGGACACTAAGTTCAGGAAAGAATGCGTAGAAAATAAATTAAAGTATTCGAAAAAACACGCATTCTTCTTTCCTGTTTGATCCTGCATTGAGTTTGCAAAGCTTGCTGCAAATCCTGCAATGCATGAATAAATACACGGGAGCATTGCAGGGCTTACTGAAAAGCAAAGATTGAAATACAGATGAAATTTGATTGAAAAATTAATTTGAAACAAAAATGCATCCGAAATCATTTCCAAAGCCTGCTATACTCCACAATGTATTATTTCAGAAGTCATCCAATAATTATGCTAGTATTTTTCAGCCCTTTGAAAAATTAGATGCTTTCTTTACGAGTTTTCAATTTCAAGTGAAAGCCATATCTGAGCCTGAGCTAATGGCTTGAGTATATTTTACATGACGTCCCCAGGTATTCAGTACAGGAAACCCTGCGTTTCCGAAGTTTCCTTCAGTACTGGGTGTAATATGTAATCAACTTTCTTGAAAAATGTTACTTCTTTTCTCTATTCCAAATTTTGAATGCGCTGAATAGAAGAAGAGTATACAGTATACGCACAATACTAGTATTATGTGATGAAAAATGCTTACAGGGTGGGCCAGAAAAAATTGAACAGATTTTTCACTTACAAATAGCTCAGGAGCAAATCAAGATGCGGTAATGAAAAATTGCCAAATGAAAGCTTATTAAATATCATTTTGAATGATTGATAGTTTTATGGTCCCAAGTGCCTTGGCATGATCAAAAGAATCATTTAAACAAAAAATTTCAGAAACACATTTTTCAGGTAACTTCTTCAACTAAGCTGCCAATCTCCAAAGCTCTGTTTTTGGGATTATTGAGGTGCACGATGAGTAATTTGAATACTGTAGTGCCTTCAAGAGGGTGCACACATTTGTTGTCCAACTTATATATTATCCGCTATTTTTCTATTTGGAGTAAATTATCCTCAACAAATTATAATCTAGGCATAAAATGGACTGAGTCAAGAGTGATGGTTCAATTATATCTTTATCCACACCACTATGGTTAAACACCAACACAACACTTGCACAAAAAAAAGAATACAATATTTAATGATGTAAAATATTATATTCTATAATATCTATACTGTGACACAGAGTTTCAAGTGGATACTCTTCGAGGAACGGACAGGGATACACTTAACAGTATCCCCTAATTAGGAGACTGACTAACCTTTAGAAGGGACATCCTAGATTTCTTCAAGACTTAGAGGCTCGTTTGTAATGTTTACTCAAGCTTGTTCAGGGTTCAGTCTCTGTAGAATGCTCTGAATGATTCTGGTGTCCTGGAGCTGGGACACTTCCTTATACAGTCAGGAGAGAATCTGGAGAAGGGATGATGCTATAAAGGTGCAGTATTGCATCATCTTTTGCTTCTAGATAGAATGTGCAAAAAAGTCACATTATGACATCACTACAAGATTACAATAAAATTACAAGCAAAGAATTGAGGTGATGGGATGGTTTCCTTGCTAATATCTGTCAAGTCAGAGCACAATGATTGTTGTCTGATGAAAGAGGGGTGACATAAGAGGGAGTATATATCAATCTATTTTTCAATACCTGTACAGTTAGAGGAATTCCTTTATTTAATAGGATATCCATTCAAGCTGGGAAACTCATTACTTAGTCATAAAGAGATAAAGGGGAGTTTCCTGAAAGTCTAATCAGAGGGGTTCCAGATGGAGACATTCTGATCTCTTGATAAAGGAAGACATTTTCGGATGATCTCTGTCCTCTCATTGATTTGAGTGACTTTAGAGTACACTCTTGAGAAAGTTCATTTACAATTTCTCGGATAACTCATTCTTTATATTTCATCGGTGGGAGCGAGAAGTACAACCAAATAAATAGCAGTGGGATTTTGCCCCACTACTAAATCTTGATGCAAGCTTGTTGGTATCAGGATTCTCATGGCTCCTGTGATCACCTGCCAGCAAATTTGCTTTGGATGACTGGATTTCTAAAATTTACTTTTACTCCTTAATCATGATGACCAGCCATCACTTTTATCACGATTAGCCACTTTTTAACAAGTTACCTTTTCCTGATCATCATAATAACGAGAATTCATGAAAATCACAGAGTCAGTAGTGTAAGAATGAAAAGTTCCCTACTATACAGATGAAAATTCACATGTTCACCTGACCATTTTGATCAAAAATGCATGAAACTGATTTTGAGTAATCCATTCATACGAAATAAATTTCCAAGCAGGGTGTCACATGAGCCATGAGGCTGGCACCCAGAAAGCTAGCATCATCTGCTCTTCTTCTTCTTTTTTTGTGGCTGCAATTCTCACCCCCACCTTCTGAATTTTGAGAAATGTGTTCACCTTCTCAAAGGTAATATGAAGTGTGCTGCTCAAATTGCAAAGCAGTTATCCCCAAACACAGCTGTGGAGAATGGCTGCTTATAGTTGAATAAGTTGTCTGACAAATTGTTTTCGGAAAGTTTTCATTCACATGGTTCTTGTGACCACGCCAACGTGGCCCCACCCCGTATATTTAAATTTTGGAATTTCCCCATAAGCATTTCACAATTTGAAGTTCTGAATACAGTTTACACAAGTTAAAGCTTTTTGGACCTGTATAAAATTTATTTTTTGATAAAGAACCAGTAAGTATTGAAATTAAATATTTTCAAATAAGAAATTCTGATTTAAAATGGTGGAAAATTTTTAAAAATTTACTTTCAAGTAACTGAGCTGAACTCACATTTGTCTATAGATTAATTGAGCCTTCAATATTTGCTCTTCTGATGCTTGGGAGGCTTATTCCCTCTGATCACCATCTCCATCAAATTATCTTACATGAAGCATTATTTTTCATCATGTCCTCAACTAAACATGCTGTTCTAAAACTTCTATGCAATTGTATGTCATCATATTCGCCTGTTATTTACTGTACAGAACTACTAGGAGTTTCCATATACCCTCCCTTCATTCCCTTGCGGAGAAAATATTTTCCTCAGGTCATCAAGAAACTCACTTTTTGTGTGCAATAAATCCCATCTTCCAGTGAATGCAGCAGATCATGTTCATATGCCGTCAATTAAGGAACCTCATTGTCAACCCCTTTTTCTCCTTTTCACCAGCAAAAAGTTTTATTCGGTGGGAATGAAACTGTCCTTCTATCACCATGAATGATAATTGCAACAATGTCCAACCCGGCTCATCCAACCCTCAGTTGATCGGATGTTGGGAATTAATGGCGTAGTCCTGCGTGTTCATTTCATTTTATTAATGCCTTGCTGATGATGCGTGCATGATGTGCTGTGCTGGAGCGCAGCATGATGAAGATATGAGAAGGTATACCGTATGTATGCATGAGTATAGGCTGTGGGTGTACATGTGCATGATAGCGTAGCATAGCAGCATACCATATAGCTGGGCAGGCCGATGGTATATATACAGTACATATCGTCGTTTGATCGTTGTTGGTGCTTAATTGATGCGGTTACGACGAGTAATTGACCAAGGATGCAGTGTTGCATTAGCTCTATAGACTTCCTTTCTTCATGCTTATGTTACATATACAGCACAGCAGTGCAGTGCAGTACAGTACAGTACTACAGTATTATACTATATACAGTAGTGTCTCTCTCCTTTGCAGTGTAATTTACTGTAATTTACTTCACTGTACCGTACTCTAAAATTTGTTTGTGCAGCACGTGGTTCGATTGGGCCACGAGTGCGCAGACACACCAGTGTTCACGCAGTTGGACTCGACGCACTGTCACTTGGTCGTCGACCGGTTCGGGTGCTACTCGTTGGCAGGTCGATCCACAAGCGCCATCCTCGCCGACGGCAGTAATGCTGTCAAGTCCCTCCAACTGGCCGTTTTCGCCACGTGGCCCTCCCCTTCTGCGCAGGACTGCACACTCCGGTTGTACCCACTCGACGACACCCATGCTGCTCTCCAGGTATACACCAGACTATATACGATCCTTTAATAATACAGTACTCTTATTCCTCTCTAAATGCCGCCTTTTCCTGTCTTTTCCTTTCTTTCTTTCTTTCTTTCTTTCTTTCTTTCTTTCTTTCTTTCTTTCTTTCTTTCTTTCTTTCTTTCTTTCTTTCTTTCTTTCTTTCTCAAGTCGCAAAAATTTACTTGATCTATGCAACCATCCGCTATATAGAATGATTGACTGTCGTCTCCAATCTCATCCTCTTCCCCTTTGTACGTATTTATGACCAGACCCCGAGCAGCTAGATGCCGCCATTTTCTTGCATACATGACGTTTTCGTAGCTCATGAAAATGTTAACATAACAACTGAATAAATTATAAAATTGCGAATCGATGGATACAAGAATACTAGAATACAATTTCTGCATTCTAGTTAATTTGATTAAATGCAATTTTCTCTTTCAAACAAGGAGGCTTTGAAAAGAATTTGGCGTCCAGCAGCATGAGGAAAATTTTAGGAGAAGGGAAAATATCTGCGATTTAAATTTTTGCATAATTGCCATTAAAAAGAAAAAAATAGAAAATGAAAAAATATGGTTCTTTTAAAGGAAATGACGAATACTTTTCTTTCCAATATTTTTTACCCGTTTTAATTTTGAAAAACATTTCCCTAAAAAATGAAAGAATTCGATTCAGAAATATTGGTACAGTACAAAGCTTCTGCAAGAACGGAATTCCGGTAATTTGCAATTCAGTCGAAAAATAATTGCCATCCGATTAAAATTTAGACCGTATTTTATTTGTAAACGAAAAATGTTACCTTTTGTAGAGTAATTTCGCTTACTTTTTTAATAAAAAAAAACAGAAACCTAAGAATGAACTGGAACCAATCCCCGGCCCTACATTTGCGTGTTACTATATATACAGCCATCATTTAGCATGGACCACCCTACTACTGATGCCAGCAAAGAAGCTTTTGTTGTTGTTGTTGTTCTGATGATGGTAATATAGCTGCATGTATATAGTTGCTGCTGAGAGCCGGGTGCTAGTTGTGCTGGGTGCTTGATTCGAGGCCTTCTCAACCAGGTTTCACTGAGATTATACACTATGCTGTACTGTATATATATATATATATATATATGCCGTTCGCTTGATGCATAATGCTGTTTATGTATACTGTATGCAGGGCGTGATAGCCTCAGAGAGAAAGATGAACGGGTTCCTGGTAGAGAAACCGACGGCGTTCCTGTTCCAAGATGATGGAGGCGGGCTGACTGTGCAGTACCTGGATGACCCGAGTGGCCATTGGCGCCCGAAGCCTCATTCTTCCCATCACCAGGTACTGTGGAGTAGAGTGTATTACGCGCCGTGAAGCATCAGCTGTATATACAGTAGCTGTATAACCGACACGACGCGCATCCTCATAAGTGCGTCAATATATTGTACAGTGTGTTTTATTAATCGGCCGATGAGCTGCTGATATGCGCAAGATCAGATGAGAGGAATCAATGCGGCGCGTTTGTGAATTAAGTCGGTCATCGGAATGCACAGCAAGCAGCTAAATATTGCTAGTGCTGCAGTTTAAGAATATACCCTAGCTCATACCCATATTATACAGTACATATACAGTATATACTGTATGTGAGCATCTATATACACAGCAGTGAGACGTACTGTACAATATAATACAGTACATGCACAGCATAGCACCCTAAATCATGTGATGTGCAGGAGATCCCGTTCGAGCATGTGTGGAATGCGAAGCAGAACGGTCTTCATTGTGCATTTACGCTGGAGCGGATGACGACGGCGGCCGGGGAAGGGTGCGACGAGTTGATGGAAACGGAGACCGAAAAGGACGAGGAGGAGGAGGACGACGACGAGGAGAAGCAGCAGCACGTTCCCCTGACATCCTCGTCGTGTGCTGCTGCTGCTGCTCATGGCGATGCTGGCAACAATACCGAAGATCATCCTCAACATATTCTTCTTCTTCATCATCGTCGTCGTCGTCGTAGTCGTCATCATCACCACCACCACCAGCATCAGCAGCAGCAGGCGGCGGAACTGCTGCTGACCTGCTCTCTCCGCGTGTGTCAGCAGCCGCAGGATGCGGTGGCGTCGATGGTGTCGGAGCCCCTGCGATTGCCTCTCCCATCGCGAAAGAAAACGATCCATGTCCGCCACCGACTCTCATCCAGCATTATGCCTCGCCCCCACGATGCATCCCATCATAATCAGGTCAGTTCCCTCGTCAAACATCATCAGTATACAGCACTTACTGCATGTACAGTATTTCACCATCATGCAGGAGCAGGTAATTCATGCTGGCCAGCATATTCTCTCGGAATTGGGGAAAGGAATGAATGACGATATGCATCTCTCTCTCTCTCTCTCTCTCTCTCTCTCTCTCTCTCTTTTCCGCTGGGTGAAAGAAGGAAATGAAAGGGTCATTCAATTTGCTGCCAACGATGATGCATTCGATAACTGCTGTACCATCAAGATGAGGATGAAACAATAAGTCAGGCTGTTCTTATTATTACTCGCGTTTATATGACTAAATGATTCCGCAGACAATGAGAGTAAGAATACTGCTGTACTGCAATATTATTGTACAAAACTAAAACAGAACAGACTCCCATTTCTGACAAAGTGTATTGCTTCTGCGTGGGCATAAGGCTCCGCGCAACTGCAAAAAAATGGCAACAGCAATACATTTTGTTATCCCAAACAATAAAATACTTCAGGATAAAAATATTCAATGATATATATATTTTTTTTTGATATTCACAACAGTATAAAATACAAAGTCAAGAAATTAAAGAAGTCTTGCTAAATTTGCTACACGGCTTCCTGAAAAATATCCGAGTCAAGGTTTGGATTAATTCTGAGGTTAGCTCAGAGGTAGATATAGACTTGAGAAGAATTGAGGATAACCGAGATTATTTTCAAGCCACAAACATTCCTGAGGTTTTTTAATCTCATGAATATTTCCAACAGAAAACATCAGGTGAAAATACATTCAATTAAAAATGTATATACATGTATCCAAGAGGATTTTCCTCTTGGATCCTGCGGCATCAAAGAAAATCCGCCCGAGTGGCATAAAAGGAGGAAAAATAGGCGCTTGGCCTTTTGAGGGGAAAAGCCTCATGCATTGAGGCAGACATCATTTACAAATAGAAGAACAAAAACAAGGAACCGCTGCAGGGGGAGAGAATCACCACTTATTCCTGGAGAGGGAAATAAAATAGGTAATTTCTTCTGGTGGAGAACCTTGCAACAAGTGTAATAGTATCTAGGTTAACAATTTGCTGTTGCCAAGGTCATAAAACAAACACTGAAGCCAGGTCATAAAAACCCAACTCTGAAACTTGGAGACAGGCTCCAAAACTCAGAGTTGGGGGAACTGCGCAAAAGCGGGCCAGATTTTGCCAAACAAATCAGGAAAATACGTCTCCCAAACACAACAGGACAATAATTTATTGGCCACCTTGTTAACCTTACCTGCAACCGTCCTCCTGGACAATCTTACCAAACCCTGCCAATTATTTTTTCACACAGGTATAAATGGGACCCAAATCCCCAAGAAAATTAGCAGACCTTTTCCAGAAGGAGACTATGCCAGACAAATATTTTCCACTGCACAATTTTCTACAAATTTTTCTGTTCTCTCTTGCAAGAAGTGACTATTCAAAGTTTTTGCCAAGTTTTGAACCAAATTGCTTATTCTGCCTGTGTGCTAAAAAAAAGTACAAGTTGCGCTTATTTTGGGAATTTGAATCCTTCAGGTCGGTTGCGCCCCAACCAATTGCCGAGTTTTTCTTCATCAAATTCCTCAGTACTCTCACCAGCACAAAATTGGGGTGCGACCTCCGATTTTGCACAATTATACTGTACATGCAGCTTATACCAGCTATATAAGCCATCTCATTGCCTTGCGCGTATACGAGGGTTCTAACAAAAGTTCTTGGAGTAGCAATGAAAATGGCATACAATTGAGCTGAAAAAAATGTATTCTCTGGCCAAAACATATTCTTTGGCACACAAAAAAAATCAGCCCGGT